GGGGTTCAAGCCCTGCCCCTGGGTAAGCGTGGTACCTACGTACGGGCCCGTGAAAGTTTCTTCCAGGTAAGTTGCTAGTCGAGAACGTAAGAAGCTAAAAAACTGGAATTTTGAGGGGATGTTTCCTGACGGTTCTATGGCCAGTCTGAAATTCTTTTAGCTAGAAGCATCTGCCGGAAAAACCAGTGCCGTTAGCGACAAAAATCTGCGGGGAACTATGCAAAAAACGCATCTTCGCATGGGCAGCCCATGCGTTGGCCAATTAACTTATAAGCAAGTTACTAAAGGCTTCCAATTTACCACCGAAACGAATGATTTGGAAAAATCTTTGGAAAGTTTTGGACTGCTTTTTGAGCTGAAAGTTTTGAAAAGTAAACCTAAAATTTTGGAAAATCTCGAGGTACTGGTTCTCCTCCAATGATGGAGTCAAAACTTCGATCCTGACCTGAACAAATGGCTAATAATTTTCATTTAGCGTGCAAAAATGAGGGCAAAAACGATAATGCAGCCTTGATTAGAAGGCGCAAAAAAGGTAGTCGCTGGGTACCACAAAATAAATGACCCCCGTCGTATTCCTCACAGGATCACTGCTTTTATCCTCATTCAAATATCTTGCAGCGATAAGTCAAAATTTGCCCTCTTTCTTACTGGTGTTTGAGAGATCTGTCTTTTTTGTGGTTTTCGACATACCCTGATAACGGATAGGTGGCTGGACATTTCACGTGAAGGTCCAGTGAAACGTATATTTTTCCGCTCGTAACGCTGGCTGATCCAACTGGCTTCAGATGCAATATGAGATCAAGCGGCCGCCATATCTATAAAGAAAAAACGCGCTTCAGAACTACTAAACACGGTGTTTTTCTAAGAAAAACTACAAAGCAAATCGAAGTCTTAACAATCTTCATTCCTCACTTGCACCTCAAAAAAATGGGCCGAAAAATCGACCAAAAACAGGTATTTTCGCCCGCTACTACTACTACTACTACTACTACTACTACTACTACTACTACTACTACTACTACTACTACTACTACTAAATATATAACTTCTTTAACTCATCCACAAGCGAGCTTCAGGGCTGCCCTAATTAGGCGGCATAAAATATACCACAACATCATCCCTGGACCGATTGAAGGGGAATCCCTTAAACTATTTAAGGGCAGCAATAAAACTGATTG